CGCGAAAGCCTACTACAGTGAGGGAAAAAAGTATTTGATCCCCTGCTGATTTTGTACATTTGCCCACTGACAAAGAAATGATCAGTCTATAATTTTAATGGTAGGTTTATTTGAAGTGAGAGACAGAATAACAACAAAATCCATAAAAACGCATGTCAAAATTTTTATAAATTGATTTTCATTTTAATGAGGGAAATAAGTATTTGACCCCCTATCAATCAGAAAGATTTCTGACTCCCAGGTGTCTTTTATACAGGTAACGAGCTGAGATTAGAAGCACACTCTTAAAGGGAGTGCTCCTAATCTCAGCTTGTTACCTCTGTAATGCGAGCGTAAATGGGGTTGCTGCTGGACTCTGGCCCAATCACACGACCCGGGGTATTGGGGGCGGAGCCCGGTATGGGCGGCATGTGGGAGGGGCCGCCGTTCACCTCGGCTCCAATGGGAAGCGAGGTGAATGGAGGTGGAGCCAGCAGGGCAGTATGGGAAGGCCGGATCTGACGATCCGGAATGGAGGAGTTAGGGTCACGTGGGAGAGAGGTTATAGACGGGAGCCCGGAAGAGATCGAGGCCAGTTGATGGAGTGAAGAAGCGGGACCACGTTGGGTGGCCGCCGCGCCATCAGCCACGTGGCTGATGGGGCTTCGGCACACCGTCGGCCAGCGGTGTGCGGAGCGGGAAAAGGAGCTGACAGAGGAGCGTGCGGGGCACGCGAGAGGAGTGTGCGTGGCACGCGAGACGAGCGTGCGGGGCACGCGAGAGGAGCGTGCGTGGCACGCGAGAGGAGCGTGCGTGGCACGCTAGAGGAGCGAGAGGAGACACTGGTCCCTTGTCAGGACCAGGGGGGTGTGAGGATGAGTGGAGGAGCTGAGGAGGAAGCGCGTGCGCGGGAAGCGCGCGAGACGACGCTGGTTCGTGGAGGAGACCAGTGAGGTGCGAAGAAGAACCTGAATAAAAGACAAGCGGAGACCAGCAGTGCCTGACGGAGTCTTTTATTATACTGGAGTCAGAGGTGGACTTTTTCAAGGCAAAATCTCGAAGGCGCCGCGTAGTGTGCATCCTGCTGCTGAGCAGCTGTTTTGCGGGAAGGAGCCGCAAGGAGAGGACGCCGACGCTGCTGCTGCCGGGGCGGGAGCACCTCGTCCTGGCTCGTGTGCGACACACCGGAGCAGTCGCGGGAGGACGCCGCGCTCACCGTCCGAGTTCTGCGAGGCGTCTCAAGTCACCACCCTGCTTGTGCCGGGGTGCGATTGTTTGTATGTCTCGAGCGTGCGGAGCGCGGGTCGGGGTGTGTGAGGATGGATGGGCTGTCTGCTTGTGTTTGCTCTGTGTCAAATAGTGGTTATGCGTTGCTGCATGGGGATGTTATCTTGATGGCGAGGTTAATTATTAATTCGGTTGCGTCGAGTGTCCCGCGCTGTTACCATCCCGTGGGTTGCTGTGTGCGACGTGGTTATTTTGATGATTTTTTTTTTGCTGCACGGTGCGACAGGGTTAACGGTGTGTTGATTGCCTGCAGCTCGGCTTGCGATTGTACATAATGTACGACCTGTGTGGAACTTTGCTGCTTGTAATCGCGATATGCTGACTGCACGTACTGTATAGACTGTCTTTCTGTACGGATACAGAGTGCGGTGCATTGTTGTGACCATTGGGTTCAGGATTGTTATTAGTTGTGCGTACCTGTTCGGAAATTGGTCAATTCGTGGGGGACCCTAAATTTTGGTTGTATGGGTGTTCGTGCACACGAGATTGCATGTGTGTTCATAGGAAATTGCGAGTGTTGAGGGATGAGGGCGTTGTTGGTGGCTCTGCCGTCAAGGGTGATGGGGCCGTAAATTTCCGCCAAGTGGCGTCGCTCTTTCCGTTGATTGCATGCGGCCAGGGGTTGCATTGCGAGTTGGTGTGTATGAGCAATGTGTCTTGGTCAACTATGGCTTAAAAATTCCCCCGATACCGACTGCTGTGTGCAGCGAGCTGCGGCTATGCGTCGTATCGTTGGGGGTTGTTAAAACGTGACAGGGGATGTGTGTTGTGACCCCCAGCAAGGGGCAGCTGGGGTGCACGCACGGGGAAAACTGCCGACGTGGTCGCGCATTGGGCCGCCATTTTGGCTAGCGCGGAAAATCGCGGGGATGCGCTCGGCACATGGGGTCGCCTATTTGAGCGCGCGCGGGAAATCGCGGGGATGTGATTGGCGCGTGGGGCCGCCATTTTGTGCGCGCGCGGGAAATCGCGGGGATGCGGTCGGCGCATGGGGCCGCCATTTTGAGCGCGCGGGGGGAAAACCTCGGGGGGGCGCTTCGCGCGTGCCGCCGCCATTTTAAGTATACACGTCGAGCCGCGGGGATGCGGTTATTGATATCATCCCTTGACTCCCGTGTTGCGCTCTAACTTGTGTGCGTGCATTGCGTGTTGTGCGCAATGCTGGCGTGTTGGCGCCCATCGGGGTAACAGGAGCATAGTGGCCCGTGTCTGACTAAGGGGGGGGGGGCGTGTCATTGCACCAGCATTTTGGGACAGAGATGCTGGCTGGGTTCTATTCTGGGGCAAATATTTTACCAATATACGCCTGCCATTGTTGAGTGGGTGATGCACGAGTTGTGGTCACATCGGCCTTTGGCCGATGGCTGACCTGACAGCCCGGAGGCGAGACACTCCGTGGTATGTCTCAAACTAATGGGCCGTATGCTCATATGGCTCGGGGAGTCGGGGTTCCGTTGTGCGGTGGCAGACTGTGAACCTGGTGAGCCGGGGGCTCATGGAATTCAGGAGTAGAGGTTCCGTTATGTGGCAGCGAACGGGGAGACCCGGCTAGCATGGGGCGGGGATTCCCCTTGCGGGTCCTCCAGCGGGAAGGGCCGCGGACTTGTTCCGCTCTGGGTTATGACGTTATTGAATGTATAAGGGAAAACATTGCCCCGTGGGGGGGGGGGGGGGGGGGTCGATGGGTTCTGGCCTTGCCAAGGGATGAACCTTCCCTTGTCTGTAAAGCGTGAGACTATAAGATGCTGGGGTGTGTCCATTGGTGATGGAATCGTACGGGATGGAGCATGGCTGAGTCGTTGCGATGTGCCATTGTCTCGTCCCCAAAATTGCACTGGCCGAGTGTATGGCAAGTGGACGTTGCTGTGGTTGGACAACCACGGTGCGGGCGAAGGCAAGTTAAATGTTGCCGCTGGGGAGCGTGGCTCTCTCCACGCGAGGGTGTGCGGCCGGGGGCTGTGTTGAGAGTGACAGTGGGTACATGCTGTGTACGTGAGATGTCTGTGCTGGTCCTCAAGGGAGGACTGCTGATGGGCAAGAGCAGGAAAATTTTTGTTGTCATTTGTAAATAATATTTTTTTGTTAAAATGTAAATACTGGGGCATCCATCGCGTCGATTTTTGGGTATTTATTGCGGTTCTTACGCGGGGCGGATTTAGATCATCTCCACTACCCTGGGGCCGGGTGGCTGTCGTGTACGACATGCGGATGTGCGTTTCGTTGTGCTGTGCCTCAGGGGGATGGGTTCTCCTTCTCGTCACAGATCTTCGGCGCCTGCCAAACTGGGTGTTACCGGTTGTGCTAACCGGATGTGGACTTGAAGGGGGAGTGGAGCGCCTGTTCGTCACTCCTGCTCTACCAGTTGCTCTCTGAAGTTGGACTTGAGCCAGGCGGATGGACCAGCAACACGGACACGCTCTAAGACACCGCATTCCTGGTTTATGTGCGTCGGCCGTTTTTGCGTGTCGGTTACCGTTGTTGTGTATTGCTTTCCATTCCTTAATTTTTTCTTGCTTGTTACACGGAGGACAGGCTGGTTTTCCGTACCGGATCCAGATCCCTTCCCTTTCGTTAATTGTGTTGTTGTTATACTCTCCGTTGTGTCTGGGGTGATTCTTGATTGTGATGCCGTCGCTCGCATTATTTAATCCTATTGCAGCCGGGACGGCTGGATTTTTCATCAGGGGGGGGGGTTATGTAATGCGAGCGTAAATGGGGTTGCTGCTGGACTCTGGCCCAATCACACGGCCTGGGGTATTGGGGGCGGAGCCCGGTATGGGGGGCGTGTGGGAGGGGCCGCCGTTCACCTCGGCTCCAATGGGAAGCGAGGTGAATGGAGGTGGAGCCAGCAGGGCAGTATGGGAAGGCCGGATCTGACGATCCGGAAGGGAGGAGTCAGGGTCACGTGGGAGAGAGGTTATAGAGGGGAGCCCGGAAGAGATCGAGGCCAGTTGATGGAGTGAAGAAGCGGGACCACGTTGAGTGGCCGCCACGCCATCAGCCACATGGCTGATGGGGCTTCGGCACACCGTCGGCCAGCGGTGTGCGGAGCGGGAGAAGGAGCTGACAGAGGAGCATGCGGGGCACGCGAGAGGAGCGTGCGTGGCACGCGAGAGGAGCGTGCGTGGCACGCGAGAGGAGGAGACGCTGGTCCCTTGTCAGGACCAGTGGGGTGTGAGGACGAGTGGAGGAGCTGAGGAGGAAGCGTGTGCGCGGGGCACGCGCGAGACGACGCTGGTCCATGGAGGAGACCAGTGTGGTGCGGAGAAGAACCTGAATAAAAGACAAGCGGAGACCAGCAGTGCCTGACGGAGTCTTTTATTACACCTGTATAAACGACACCTGTTCACAGAAGCAATCAATCAGATTCCAAACTCTCCACCATGGCCAAGACCAAAGAGCTCTCCAAGGATGTCAGGGACAAGATTGTAGACCTACACAAGGCTGGAATGGGCTAGCAGGTTGGTGAGAAGGTGACAACAGTTGGTGCGATTATTCGCAAATGGAAGAAACACAAAAGAACTGTCAATCTCCCTCGGCCTGGGGCTCCATGCAAGATCTCACCTCGTGGAGTTGCAATGATCATGAGAACGGTGATTAATCCGCCCAGAACTACACGGGAGGATCTTGTCAATGATCTCAAGGCAGCTGGGACCATAGTCACCAAGAAAACAGTTGGTAACACACTATGCCGTGAAGGACTGAAATCCTGCAGTGCCCGCAAGGTCCCCCTGCTCAAGAAAGCACATATACATGTCAGTCTGAAGTTTGCCAATGAACATCTGAATGATTCAGAGAACAACTGGGTGAAAGTGTTGTGGTCAGATGAGACCAAAATGGAGCTCTTTGGCATCAACTCAACTCGCCATGTTTGGAGGAGGAATGCTGCCTATGACCCCAAGAACACCATCCCCACCATCAAACATGGAGGTGGAAACATTATGCTTTGGGGGTGTTTTTCTGCTAAGGGGACAGGACAACTTCACCGCATCAAAGGGACAATGCACGGGGCCATGTACCGTCAAATATTGGTTGAGAACCTCCTTCCCTCAGCCAGGGCATTGAAAATGGGTCGTGGATGGGTATTCCAGCATGATAATGAACCAAAACACAGGGCCAAGGCAACAAAGGAGTGGCTCAAGAAGAAGCACATTAAGGTCCTGGAGTGGCCTAAACAGTCTCCACACCTTAATCCCATAGAAAATCTGTGGAGGGAGCTGAAGGTTCGAGTTGCCAAACGTCAGCCTCGAAACCTTAATGACTTGGAGAAGATCTGCAAAGAGGAGTGGGACGAAATTCCTCCTGAGATGTGTGCAAACCTGGTGGCCAACTACAAGAAACGTCTGACCTCTGTGATTTCCAACAAGGGTTTTGCCACCAAGTCATGTTTTGCAGAGGGGTCAAATACTTATTTCCCTCATTAAAATGCAAATCAATTTATAACATTTTTGACATGCGTTTTTTGGGATTTTGTTGTTATTCTGTCTCTCACTGTTCAAATAAACCTACCATTAAATTTATAGACTGATCATTTCTTTGTCAGTGGGCAAACGTACAAAATCAGCAGGGGATCAAATACTTTTTTCCCTCACTGTATGTATTAAACTGACATGGAGGTGTCACTGTTGCGCCACAGGGACACCGTAACGCTGCCGTAGATGGACGCTGCAGCCTCCCGGGTGCTTCTTGTTTGACGGCCTCGTGGCGCGCGCCGTCATGACATTTCGCAAACGCCAAAATTCGATTTAGTTAATCAAAAAGTGGCCATAGCTTGTCAATTGCGTGAAGGCGAAATTTTGTAAACCGAACGTTCGTAAATCGAGGGATTTCCTGTATTGTCCTCCACAGTACAGTACTTTTTTATGCGCGACACAAAGTTGGTGTATACGGTGGGTAGAGGCGAAGGCTGAAAGGCGACAGATACGAGAGATGGCAGACGATGCCGTCAGTGACGTGAGTGTGGGTTGAAGTGACACAAATCAGGTCATGGTATTTATAAATTGACGACGTATTTGCGAAACAACGTAAAAGGGGAGACATAAATCTGGGTATGACAGTTTGCTGAATTTATTTCAGGCTGAGTATACCTATAGTTGGGCTTGGGGGATGTTTGACCATAATTCACCATGCTCGGCAGTGCAAATGTGAAGAGAGCGGAGTGGTGCCAGGACCGGTTCAAATATCACTCACCACTGATGTTAGCCGCCGTGGCTGCAAATTGAACTCAGGTAGCCACATTCTGTCGCACAGTACGCTAACCACTGTGTCATCACTCTCCAAAGACCTGTCCCTTTTATAGGCGAAACAGACGTTTTGGTAGCAAGCACTTATAAGGGCAACACGGCACACGAGGGGTGGGTGGCCAATACCACGCCCAGCTGCCGATGTCTCCCCGGTGCTGATGTATCCACACTGCACCAGTGACTAATATAGGGCTGAGTAATCCTAGGGGAGGCCCAGGACTGGTTTGGATATTCGTCACCGATGTTCGGATCGTCTGATTTGTCGCCCACTGCGCTAACCACTGCGCCACCACTCCCCACAAATACACGTCCATTCATTTGGCTGTAGCATTGTAAGCACTTCCTCAGACTCGGCCCATCGCTACTGCCGCAGTGTTTGAGCCATGCAAGATCCAATTAGTTGTTTCATCAGGATCTTGACAAATGACACAGCCGCTGACCTGTGAAGCACAGTGATTACAAGATTTAATTGGCCATTAACAGATTGCAAGCCCAGTTGCTGTGTGTACAGGTCATTCATGTCACCCTGTGAGTGGTTCATCTCACACATACTCTGGTGTTACGATTCATTGTTAAAAAAAAATACCTCCACTTGCACCAACATACATTTATTCTTCACATTGCTGAACATGTGTTCATTTACAACTCTTTGCCAATCCACTGCTGGATTTGCCAATCCAATCCACACCCATTCATTGCACCGAAATACATTTTTATATTAATGTAGTGACATTGCTGGATGTCACCATGCTGGGTGCAGTGCCGGCCCGAGAGGGGAACGGCGTGCGGTGTAGCGACATCGCGGATACCACAATGATTTGGGTGCAGTATCGGCCCTAGAGGGGCCCGGTGAGCGCTGAATAATGGCACTAGATGGCACCAAGCTTTGCGTGCAGTGCCGACCCTACAGGACAGGGTGTGTGGGTGCCGGCTGAAGGCTGAGGTTACGTTAGGTCATGGGACTCTGGTTGACCCGGGAGAACACAGTTGACAATGGGGCCCCAAGAGGGGGCTGGGGGTGGTCACGTGATTGGGACCCAGATCTTTCCTGAGGATTCTGGAAGGTGGATGTGGCCAAGGGCGGAGCCGGCCACGCCACAGAGAATATAAGCCGGGTCCCGAGAGGGACCAGGGTTGTTGTTCATCCTGGAAGGAACCCTTCATCTACGTTCTCCGTTCAACGAGTCTCCAACACGTGGACCCGGGCCGAAGCTGTTGGTCCTGGTCCGCAGTAGCAGTTACGTTTTAACTAGTGTAGTTAGCCTGATGGTCACCACCATGTTAAGGGGAAACTTACCCCATGTGTTGGAACTGAATAAATGTGTTGCCTCCAAGTCTATGTCTGCGACTCAGTTGAACCGATTACATATCCACTATTGTTGTAAAATAGCTAGGAATGTGTAAATTAAATCCTGGTAAATATTGAGGTTTTTTTGTGTTAAAGGAAATGCAATTCGTTCTAATTAATCGTGATAATAAAAAAAAAATTTGAAACGAAATATGCAGACATTGACTGACATTTGCATCTCATCCATACCATGCTCAACAATCGCACTGCAAGTCAACACTTTTTGCTTGCTCCCTCACTCTGCTTCACTTTTCCTGATATTTTAGTTGCATCTCTCCAAAAATAGAATTCTGGCATTGCACCTCTGTTACCGTACAAATTGTAACCAGATCACAGTTGCAGCCTTTCAGCACACATAATACTTATTTAAACATTTTGCCTTGTAACTGCAGGTTTTACGATGAATGGCGTGGCCCAAGGATGGGCTGGCAAGCAGACGGGAATTGCTTCCTTCTCACCGTGGCTGACCGCGTTTGTTTTTTTGCGGCAAGGGCTATGGGTGGCGATGATGTCAATGCACAGCCTCGCGTGCGAAGGGGCCTGGGCTACAACTCGTGCCAAAGTGAAATGGGAGCCACGCTGCGTGCGAACGTCCCAGCCACGTGCTCTGGGCTGCTGCTGCTGAGAAGGGAGGGGGTGGGAGGCGTGTCAGACGAGATTGAGGGCCATAGGATAGGTCTGCAGTATCCGCATTGTTTTGTGGTGAATGCTGTGAAAAAGGTCACGTCCAGAAGTTGTCTCATCTCGTCTCAGGCGAACAGGTCCAAAAGTATTTTTGCTAAATTTTAAGTCAAGTGATCATGATGGCCAATGTCATTGATGCCACTGCACCTAGCCATTGATTAATTCTGATTAATTATGGTAGCTGCTGTAACTTCAGACTCTGAACTCTAAGGCCTGCTCTCATAGTGAAATCAATATTGTAATGGTAAAACATGTAAAAATTAAATCCTGTTCAAATGAACATTCACGATACCCATCTGTTTATAACCAAGATCCACTGTTGAAAATTACACATTAAATTGCCTCAACCCCTGTTAGTGTTCAAGCAAGATAAGAGATCGGGAGCATTCCAGGTGATGCAGTCATACGCAGTAATAGCAACATAGTGCTGTGATAATAATGGCAACACAATTGATGATGCCTTCCCATCTGCCCTCTAAAAAATTATGCATCCCAACGTCGTTCACCCTTTTCTGCACCGCAGCCAAAACGCTGGTGCTCAAGCGAGAGTTGCACTTATGCCCATTGCATGCATCTTGCGCCCATATTGTCAATTGTATGGGAAACCGCAACTCGCTGCTGCATCTGTACTGAATCACTTGCGATGTTCGTGTATGCCATAACTTCGTTGTGCCATAACGTCAGTGAAATTTGTTCATTAAAACACAAGAAGAGCATCCTCCAAGGCATCTGGAAATTCACTCCTTGCTGGACAAAAGAGGCCAAGGGCCTGCTCCAACAGTCAGTGCCGGATTATCCTAGTAGCAAAAGTAGCATATGCTACGGGCCCCACACTTTCAAGGGCACCACACTAATTGCTTTCAAGCTATCAATTCTGGTTCAGTGATTCTGCACTTGCTCTATTACTATAGTACTATACAGCCTTCAACTTTTTATGAACGACTGGGTGTTTAAGGTTAGCAATTTGTCGTATTATCTGGCTGTATAGCAAATTAAAATATACAATTACTTTACTATGCAAGTTTAAAATTAGTGTTTTAATATTTACGTGTGTTTTTTAGGGCCTCTTTATAACATATCCTAGAGGCCCCACACTAGCTTAATCCGGCACTGCTGACAGTACAACCAGTCGGGCAGCCCACAGGTTGGAAAGGCAATGCTAGAGTCTTTAGACTCAGCCAGACGCCAGCGGTGGATTAAGTGTGTTGAAGGCCTGGACTTCACAAACTCCAGCCACCATGCCTGGGCCCTACTATGACACCCTAGGTGGTGCTAATCCGATAGAATACCGAGTCCTGCCCAACTCTATAGCCTCCAAACTAGTGGAGAAGGCAAATGGCCTGCTCAGCAAAAATATCAAGCTTGAGATACATTGCCAATTACACCAGACAATGGTCTCAATTTCTTCACAAGACCCCACCGCCATCAGCACAGCGGAATTGAGGAAGGGTCTGGCTGCAATGAAGAAAGGCAAGGCTGCCGGCAGAGATGGTATCCCCCCAGAATTCCTCCATCACTTAGGTCCTAGGGGGACTCCTGTTGTATATATAGGCCTTTTTCCCAAAATTGAAATTAAGAATAATTCTGCCTATATTTTTTTCTTAATAATCAATCGGGATGTAGCATGAAGCACAAACAAAATGTAACAACCACCCTCACCCCTCAGCAGCTGCCTTCCACAAGTCACACCAGGCAAGGAAGTAGCCATAAAAGAACATTTTTAAAAACCCAAATGCAAAAATAGGAGATTCTGAGGAAATCTCTACCTGGCTTCAAAGGCCGCCACACAGCACGTAAAAGCAAGAGGCGCCCCTCTTTGAGAGAGACAAAAATGTAACAACCCCAGCCGTGGGGGAAGAGGGGGGAGAACGCAACCGGACAGGGGGAACCCCCCCTCCTTCTAGATTAATTATTGCAGAGGGTTGGAGGACTGGAAGGACGCACTTGGGGGCAATCTGGAGCATCTGTTTCCATTGATGGCTGGGTGGCTTGAGGAAGACGACAGGAACCAGGCCTTGATGAAACTTATATTACGTCAATAAAATTAGAACACAAACACACAGGCCGGACAAACAGCTGTTCCCATAGGCTGAGAGAGAAATAAAAGGAATTCCGATCCATTGTGAGAAGGAGAGCTGAGGTGGGCGAATTTTCACATATAACCAAAGACAGATAATGCAAGCCAGTCTTGCAAAGGGGCAGGCTCCGGGGCATGGCCTCGAGATCAACCATGGGTGTCGTGTCTCGCAGAGAGAAGGGACGATGTGTTGTTAAGAGCTGAGTTCGGCATGAACCGACAGAGTATGGCTGAAAGTTTTATTCTACATTTATCCTGATGTTTTGAGTCGCTTGCAGAATCGAGGATTTCGATAAGTTGTATTGTACTAAGCTATCATTTCATAATCAACGTTTTTGGGTTTAGATCGCGTTTATTTATAAATGTGTCGTAACCCTCCACCACCCGACACGGCCAATCAGTAAAAATGTGTCACGTTGACAAAGACAAATAGTTCACTGCTTTAGCCCACCGGTGTGTTGAAGCCACAACATTTACAATTTGAGTACGACGTTTCGCTGGTAATTGCGATTTAAAGGTTTTTATTAACTTCTCAACGGGTACAAGGAAAACCAAAGAGAGTACTGAAAACCACTCCTTCCCGGGCGCCCCGGTTGGCCCCTTCGAGTCTCCGTCACATCCGCGGGCTCCACCCACATACAATGCAACAAAACAAAGCTCGCAACCATAACGCACACCGCCCCGTTCCCCTTATTCACATTCATCACCACCATTCACCCATGCGCTGCTCCATCACATCGCCTTCCCCCGATCGAACACGTACATTCCTCGCCCACACGATTTAGCAGGCCGGCTAAAATGTGCGTGGCCATCCTTCACTATCCCTTCCCTATACCCGCCGGTCCCCTCGCTACCCCACCCCGGGTAGGGGCCACTTCCACTTCACACCTGCGGCCTTGTATCCCAGCCTAACCCGGTCTACTTCCATCACCCTTTCTAGCAACCTCCTCGCCCAGTAGCACACCTCCAACGGTGATATAGGGGACCCATCCAACTCTTTTCTGCGAGCTCCCCACAAGGCCTCCTTTGTCGCGCCTATTACAGCCCACGTTCGATCTCTGTCATCTCCCCGCACCTCCCTTAAGACTCCCCACATAATGTCCCGACTTATCACCTGCGACGGGTAAAACCAGGACAACAGCGGACTGCTCAGTCTCCACACCTCCTGTGCGAAGGGACACCTCACCATGACGTGCACCGCGTCCTCATCTGTGTTGCAGCCCCTCGGGCATTTGGGCGAACGTGCCATTCGGCGAGAAAACATGAAGCCCCTCGTCTCCAATCTATCCCACACCGCCAACCAGGACAGATCTCTCTGTTCTTTTGTGAGC